ATTTGAGGATCCTTCCATTATGTTAACTTTTATTACAGGTACAGCCAGAAGTATTTCATACACATTGCATATTTGTGCTTATTTCGAGTTGATGTTCGGTTCATTAAGGGTCTTAAGCTTCACTGGCGTGACTGTCCAGGTGATACATGCTGAGGGAAACTAGAACATAGAAGGATGATTGCATGCACGCTTACAAATACATATAACACATATAATCTAGGAATGTGTCAGGCCTGAGGCCTTAACTCATTTGGTGTCTCACTATATTTTACTCTACTTGGCAACAGATGACCAGAGTCAATAATTAGCCCCAGAGACCCTGAGGGCTTGAAGTTTATTACCTTGTATGGAAGGTGTTACAGAAAAGAGAAGTTCTATGTCTGCTTATAGCCATTAAAGATGTACAAGATGTACCATTAACTGTGACTAATGTCTGGAACCTATTTCAATCTGTAACTGATGCCATGGGGGGGGCATGTACCCCACTGCTTTATAAGTGTCCACAACATGTGTTTTGGTCAGAGGACATATGCTGATGTTTTCTCCTGGCTGTTAATAAACTCATCGTTTGATTGCACTTTTCTGGGGCCTCCGTGGTTTGTCTCACTGCTCTACATTGATCGATTTCGCAACAACCTTCAGACAGCTGAGAGAACTATTGCCCAACGCCACTTTAAAACAATCACAAGAAAATCTGGCTCCTTGGAATCAAAGCAAAAAGAAATGAGGGGCTCGAGACTTTAGCACAGTATTATATATCAGACTTTGCACTCCAGATTCTCATGTCTTCCTTTAAATCTCAGGACTTTATGACTTGTATGTTTGGATTTTTTTTGTATCCTTGTTAATCACTATGAAAGATGGATTTTGAAATGTTTCTATATTATTCTATATTATAATATTAGCCACAGGTATTCCCACTAATATAGTTTAATATAGCTCCATTTCCTAAAAAAAAAACAGGTAGTAAGTTGTCCTCTTTTAAACAAAAATACAAAAGGCAAAAAAAACATTTCATCACATTCAAATAGGTTTAAAAAAGTAAGCATAGCTGTTACTCTTACAGCCTGCAATGTAAACAAAGCGCTTTTTCAATAAATATGAGAATGAAGGCAGAACACTCCAACACCCTGCATTACTGTATGTGCTGTGCCCCCTTTGTTTGTTTGCAATTACTGTTTAATTAAATTTACAGCGATACTTCAAATTGCCCTGCGGAGGAATATATTATAGCATACTCGAGGGGAAAGAAGATAGAGTGGAATGGAGAGGCAGAGACTATTTAAAAGGCATGACACAAACAGATTCTATATTTACCAGAGACATTCAAATGCACCCCGCCTCCATTTGAAACAAAACAGCTTCCATTTAGGCTCATTTCTGTTTCAATTTCACGTAGTTATTTGTTTTAAAGGGTAAAGTTGAATTGTAGATAGACATATACATACAAATTAAAAGCTGAACTCATACCTTTAACAGCAGATTGAGTGTGGTCAGCGATGGGGCTCGTTGTTCTCTCTCCTGGAGGGCTGCTCGTACCACTTGCCTCTGTGCTCTGGACTGCAGGTACTAACTGAATCAATGGCATCACCTCTTTCTCCTCACTGGAAAGACCTTCTTCTGAGTTCTGCAGCTCAGTCACCGGACTCCTGAAAGAAAAAGTGCCACTTCTGTCCTCCATAATGGCATTATCTATGCTGCCCTTTTTCCCACTGGGTTTTGGAAAACTTGGGTTCCTGCTGGGCGCTTCCCCCTGTGTTTGGTTATTTGTTGTGTTTTCATCTGGCACCATGGCTGTTTTCTCTGTATCATCACCTTCCTCACTCTGAGTCCAGTATCTAAAAGGCCTCATAAGAGTGTTAACAAAGTCAGTCAGAATACTATTACTGGTTTGAACTTGGGGCGTGGAAGTAGAAATTGAGGATAATGTTGGAGTCTCAGATCCAAAGTAGCTTCCATCTTCTTCCTCATGGGCAGAGCCTCCATGCTTCTCGAAGGTTTCAAGGTCAGAAACGCCCAAAGCATTGCTGTTATTTAAGCTGTGTGACTCATTCTGGCTGGGCTCTGGCGTTCCAGGTCCATCCTGAGTTTCATCCAAACCCTCCTCAGGCCTTAAGTGGATGATCACATGCTCTTCGGAGAGCTCAGATGAGTTGTTGATTCCAGCAATGGACGGGACTCGTACTTCATCTAAGTCAACAAGGCCAGTCCAGGTGGAAGTCTTAGGAATAGAGGCACTATCCTGGGCTTCACTTAATAAGGACATGGCCTCTGCTGCCAGGTGAGGTGTCTGATACAAAGGCTGTGGCTGCGCAGCCTGCACCCCTGCTGGCTGGTGGGCTGAAACACACAATCGCACATCAATTGACTTGTTTTGTCGTCTACGTTACAACACAGCCAAAAACCTCACATTCCTTATTTTTAAGAAGATTAAATCCAGAGTAGGACACACATGTGTTATAGATATCACAAGTAGATCTGTTTTTCTACAAAAAATTACAACCATTTGAAATCAGCAAATATACAAATGTGACTGCATCCACAATATTATTCACACAAACCATATCTATGTTAATAAACGAAATCCATTACCATTTTTATCTACTTTTAGCTATCTGAAAGGCATTATTCTTGTAAATCTGCATTCAGCATTGTCGGTGCTATGAAGAGGTTCATCTGTCAGCTGTTTGTTTTGACAGATTCACTGCTGCTCTGCTCTCACGCTGTTCTTGTTTACTTTAAAATTACTGGGTTATGCAGATGTTTCACTTCAGTTACATTTTCATGGGCTGACAATGTGAAAGATGAAATTGTCATTCTTTCATTTTTTCCTACCTAAATATTAATTTGTAGTCTTCTCATGATATCAGTTCTCATTCTGTGTGTGTTGCTGGAAGAAGTTGGCTACAAACAGTGAACAAAATAGTTCATTCGGTTTGAAGAGGAGCCCAACTTATTCGTGTGTCAGCAGATAAGAGGACAAGGCCAGACACAGTCACTGCAGACCCCAGCTAGACTTGCTTTAGTCGTGCTCTCACTCTTATTTGATCCATATTTCCATTCTGTCTTGCAAGCGCAGCAACCCACAAAATACAAGCCCTGATATCCATTGAGGGGAAGCAAATGTCGCACAGTCTCTTCACAACTCCTTCATGTGTGACACCAACATCTCATGTTAATTAAAAATCAGAAGGGGAAACAATTCCCCAGATACAACGCTCGTTACCATGGCAATTACCACAATGTAACTGCATCACCCTCATTATCGCAGAGGGCTTAGTACCTCGGTAGCAGTAGGCATCAAACAGAGCTGAGGTGTCAGGAAACCCAGTCCGGTTCGGGTTGTTGTAGACAGTCCGTACCCCAGGCTCGTCTCCGCCGCAGTTCTTCCGCGGGACGTTGATGGGATAGCGAACGCTGCCATCAGCGAGCCAGCCGGGATCACACTGGTCAAGACCAGCCTGCCAGGCGAGGAAGAGCTGCCCAACAGTAGCCAGCTGGGCTCCCAGGGAATGGCAGTGAGTGGAGGCGGTGGCAAGGCTCAGCTTCTCTGGCACTGTGGAGTGAAAAACCTCACCTGGAAGATGTAAAAAGAAGCGTTGAGTTGTATTACAGAGCAAAAGCACTTCAGCCTTGAGAAAATTTTTGTTTAGTTGGTTGGCAGTTGCAGGATTTTGAGTGCTGGTTGATTCTTGGATCATTTGGTATTGCAAACTGATGTTAAGTGAATTTGAGTTTGTGTCTGTCTCTTCTTGGTTGAATCGTATTAGTATTTTCTTTTAAGGTGCTATAACGGCAATCAGTTCTAGACATTTTCTCTTTCTCCTTTGTGAACTGTAAAAAAAAGTAAGAGGTGTAGACTAGAAGTGAGGAAGCAGAAGGCATTTATTGTTGCCTGCAATAATAAAAGGAAATCAGTAATTCAAAGTACTGACTAAAGCAAATTGTTTGCAATTAAAGACATTTAAAAAGAAGATCTAAGTACACAGACAGCGGATAAAAGAAAGAAGAAAAAAAAAGAGGCTGAAGAATGGTGCTGTTGATGCTGATAAAAAAGAAATTCAAAAACAGGCAAGACAGAGAGTGCTCAAGAAGAACATAGCACACATGCATTTATATGATCGCTGGCAGCTCAGGGTGTGGTGATGAAAAATATATAAGCTGGAGGGTTGGACAGTAAGAATGAGGAGCAGAAAACAGAAGAACACATTTGATACGAGGATCTAGGAGATTTATGTCAAGAAAGAAGAATGTCACTTCAGTTTTTTCTGAACAGTTAAAAAGGTCAAGATCCAAGCAAAATAAAATGGGAAAGAGCCAGAAAGGGGATACATGAGGTGTTATTTGTCAGGACTATTATAGAAGATGCTTAAATAGGCATTTAAAAGGTGGTAATTTTTATAGATTGCAGATTAAATTAGAAAAGATTGACAAATCAGCGAAAGACCTATATACTGACATTTTTTTGTGCAAATCAAGCCCAGCTGAGCTTTTGTACATGTAGAGAAAGGTCTGCTGCTGAGTTTATTAATTCATCTTTTAGTTTTTGTTGTTTTCTTATTAATGAATGAAACACCAGCTATGTATCACCCAGGAAATTTGCTTTGACTGCAGACAATTATTTGCTGATTACTTCAATCAGGTTGTTAATTCCACCAAACAACATTCTTAACGGCAGGATACAAAGTGTAGAGAAGGTCGTACAATTTTCTCTTCTCAGCACATCAGTCCCATACTAGGTGTTAATATGGTCTTTAAATAGTGGAATGGCTTTCTTACTACTACGATGCTTAATGACAGTTGCACACCTCATACTGAGAGATCTAGATAATGTAACCCCTGTTGCAGGTCAGAATGAGGTGTTAAAATTATTAGAAAAACGGATGCCGGTTATTATAATTGCGCTTTGGAATTTGCACGAGGTTAAAGTATGACAAACACTTAATTTCAGTCAGACGTAGACGTGATTATGGTGTGAATGACGAATATATGCAGTGTTAATATTTGCCATTTCAGCATTGAGCCCATCATTCCTCTAGAGGAAACACCACCCTCAGCACAGCAGGGAGGAGAGAGAGATGATAATCACTTTCCCCCCTTGAGGAACACATACTTACAATCTACAGTTGGATTTTTGGAGGTGATCTAATATTCTCTAAAAACAGCACTAACACTTGAAAGAATGGCTTTCATAGAAGTGTGGCAACAAGAGAGCAATCAGAGCTCTGACAGCTTAAATATACTGCGTTACACAAAGGATACACTGGACGTACGGTAAATTGCACTCATAGAGGCTTGTCATGTAGTATGAGCGGTAGTGAACTTGTGATGCCTGAGCACACTTGCACAGCTCTCATCTATCTAAGATATATCTGTAAGGAGTGGAGAGGCTTCAGTCACCAATTAAATCAAATGGGAGGAGCAAAATGTTAGATATGTTTGTTAATTTGACCTAAAAACAATAAAACTTATCAACTAGTTTAATTGATTTCTATCCATAATTCCCCCCTGGTGTTTAGCCGCTGCTCAGTCATCATCAAGATGGCAACAAATACTGTGTATCCAATGTTGAGATTAAAGAATAGAGGGCTAAAAATGTAACTGAGACGTTTGAGAAGAAAGAAGGCGAATATCAAAGCACATCAATGACTCTTTAAGAGGAATAAGCATCATAAAGGTCACTGGCTGACTTGATGTCTTTCAAGCTGAGGTTGCATCATCTGTCATTGTGACAGACAGGGTCATAAAATGTCCATCATAATCTATTATTACCAGTCATTTTAATTTCAATTTATCCTGATAAAGGAATATATTCAATAAAAAGATAATAAAGAAACAACTCAGTCACTGTTTAATACAGAGAAGAGAACATGCATTTATCAGGAAAGGACAGACAGTTTCACTGACCTTGGGATCACTCCTTATGTCAACACCAGAAGAAGCAGGTAAGTTTTTACTCAAAGTGACACTAAAATACTCCAGCCATTGTTATTAAACAACCAAATGTGACGAAAACAGGATGCTCGCTTGATAAAGTAAGATAACTGATGGGGCCACTGTCAGTAATCATATAATAACCTCATCGTAACCTCATATACTGAAGATTGGCTGTCCAGGGTGCACCCCGCCTCTTGCTCTATTATAGCTGAAGAGAATGGATGGGTGGGATGGACGAGTCTAGAAACACTGCCCTCAGGGAGGCGATCAGAGGTCAGCAATACTGTTTTTACATGAGACCACGTGTGTTTCTTCTGTATCAGGGTGCAACAGAATCCATCTGTGACCACTGCAGGTCACAAATGCACCCCAAGACATTGAGGGAGGATATTTCTGTATAATGTTTGATGTTATGTTTAGAAAAAGAGAAGTTGCCAATGCTGTGAGCACAATTCTTGTCACTATTGCATATGGATTATTTGATCTAATGGCAGGTCACCATCATTCTTCTAATCTGTCAAAAATGATGGACGGCCGTCTGATTTTTCTGTCATTCAGTCAAAAAGAAAAAGTCAGACAATGACAGAAAATATTTAATCAATATTTGATTTCAAGATGTAAGTAAAAATGTTTTCTTTAAATAACGTTTAAATAGCTTGATCATGTGGCCATGTTTCTTCTCTAATCCTTAAACATGGTTTGAAGTTCTTGTAGATTTGGAGGACTTTCATTTTGCACAGTAGCAGCTTTATAAGGTGCATCTTACCAGCTACTCTTGCTATAATCGTCAGGCTTTGAGGTGATGCAGTAAACACTGACATAGTTGTCAGATCTATCATTCAAGATTTATGGACATTTGTGAAAGAAAACCAAAGCAGGCCTCCAATTTCTAGCCAACAACCACTGATGTTGATGTATGAAAACCAACTCTGTCTCCATCCATCTTGCAATGCTTCCAGCTAACTGGCATTGAACAGAATACTCTGTAAAAATGCTTTAAACACGCATTCAATTGCTATATATTTTATATGATGTGATGCTAACAGATTTAGGCTATAGGCAAAAAAAAGTCAGCCAACTTGCAGTTACTCATCCATGGAGAACAACTTAAAGGTGGAGCAACACTTTATGAAATCAGGATTTGCCCCCTAACTTGCAAAGTAAATCTATATTAGGTCTCTAATGTGTAAAGAGAGCTTTCACCTACTTTTTTGCAGTTATAAGTGTGCTGTCAGGGTTCTGAGTTTTCTGTAAAATATTATTCTTTTGGCTTTGAGAATCATTTGTTTTGACATTTTTCTTGTAATAGCATTTCCTGGTCGGTTTCTTTATATTTATATTTTCTGTTTTTACTTTTACTTCAAGTTCGGTATTTAAGTCACCGAGTTCCTGTGTGTTCCTGCCTCCCTTGTGTTTTCATGGCTTGTTTAGTCTCTGTTTTGTTCCCATTTTTATTTTTTTATTCCTTTTGAGTCATTAAGTTAAGTTATCCTCAGCTGTGTTCTCACCCGTTACCTCTCCACCTTGTTATCATGTGAGTATATGTCGTCTGAGTCGCCTTGCTGTTTGCCACGTCGTCCCTCATTGCTTTGTGTTCCTTTGTTCCTTGTTGTCTTTTATTTGTATCTTATGGCCCTGTTTTTAGGCGTTGCTTACATGTTGCAAGACAGGATTAAGGTTGTTTTGCTTTTTCTATTGCAGTCCACCTTCGACTCCCACACAGCCGATCTTTGACACACAGTCCATGACATCTTTATTACATCCTTGTAAAAATCTCACAATAAAGATTAAAATGATAAAAATGGACACCAAATCTATAGATTTCCCAGTTTTATTGTGTAAGCTATTGAGTTTACAACATGCAGCAATTGGGGATGGGGTAAATAAGATTTTGGACACATAAGATGTGCCCAGTGCCACCTCTTCTTGTGGCGCTGCAAATCAGAGCAAACTTTTATGATAACACTACTGACCCACTTAGCTTCTGCCTTCAGGCCTCTGCATCTCCCTCAGTTGAACAAACTCTCCTCCCTTTCCTCTCCCACTGCTCTTCTCTAGACTGTGCTAACAGAGTATTAAGGCCTGGTCACAGCCTTCTGGCACTGCGAACCCTCGGCTTAGTGGACCCATGCATGACTAAACTCAAATTTATGGTAGAAGCTCCTGACTCCTACCTTGAAGACGCTTAGCAAAACAGTAGACATCAAACAGCTCATCAGGGGACCTATTGCCGTAGTTACGAACTCCAGGTGAGTCCTCACAATCACCATAGCAACCTGGCCGTGGTGACTGGATGGGATACCTGCAGAGGAACCCAAGAGATAGGGACAATGACAGAGAGTGTGAGAGAAGAAAAGAGAGTGAGATTAATATAGCCTGGCCATGAAAAAAGCAGCCAGAGACTTGGCTCCCCTGGGATGAGTCTGTGTTCACACGCATACAAAATAAGATAAAAGGTACACTTTTATCATTGCCTGCCCTGAAATACAATAAGTTTGAGTTGACCAAAATATATTTCCCAAATACTAATGAAAAATAAACACAGAGATGTCCTCCCTTGAATCTGGTTGGAAGCAAGAAATATAGTAACATTCACAATATGCGACAACAACCGCAGGAAAATAATTGGCAAGCACTTCAATGGATACACTATCTTGTTTGTTTTAATTGTTCTGCCCTCGGTGTGAGTTTCACAACCAAATCGTTTCATTTTAAATCATTTGAAAATGCATTTAGTGCTCTTGCAGTATAAGACTGTCAATGCTCAAGCTTTTAGAAAGAGAAAGAACGAGAGATAGAAAGTCAAGAAGAGGTTAAAAGAATCAGACATTTCTGTGGTGGCTTGGCATGCCTGTGGGGCTAAAAAGAAAAAGAAAAAAACAACATCAACAATCTATATTTAGGCTCCAACTGAGCAATTATTCCACAAGAACATTGTTTCCTGCAGCACCACAGCGCAAACAAAGAGGCTGATTAAAAGATTATGCCGGGCATACAGGGACTTTATGAAGCACTTGGAAAAGATGCGCAATCAAATATACATGGAGAAGACAGACATGCTTGTGATATAAGAAAAGAACAAAATCTTTTAGTGTCTCAGGCCGCAGCTACTTTCTTTTTGCTTGGTGTCTGATGAAATGGCGGTTGATGTCTATATTTTTTTCACCAAGTATTAATTGGACACTTTCCTCCTTGCTGATGTGCAGTCAGAGCCTCCTGGATCTGGACCAATTAGATAGCTCCCGAGTGAAAACAACAGGAGTGCGGGATGGAAGGCGAGAAAGAAAAAGGCAAGGAAGTCGTGCCGCAGGAAGTCTGCGAAAAACTGTCAGGCAGACAACAGTCAGTCTGCTTGCCAAGTGGAGCAACGGCAATTTGAAATTAAAACGCTGATATGGAAAACAATGTGGAGAGGCAGGCTCTGACTGGTAATGTAAAAAGGGATTTAACAGAAAGTGGCAAGCTGAAGTACATGGCTGACAGACAGCTCAGAGGGGGCTGATGTAGTTAAACTGCCTTTCCAGTGTACAAACAAGCTATTAGGTCCAATTATGTTGCACAGTATCAAGTCTATGAAAACCCCCAAAATATCACAATGGCTTTCAAACTTTGATACTTTATACTTATAGATAGTTCATTAACTTGTGTTTTTGTAGACGTATTATTTAGAGATTGTCTTTTGTTATAATGTTTGATAGTGAGGAAAGCAATCAGAAATATTAGTCTTATCTACTGCTCGAAAGAGGTTTTATACGATAACTCTCTTCAGCAAACCGTGTTAGTATGAGAACTAGATAGATAACTTATTTAAAAGTCAAGTTCTGCTGCAATCTATGAGTCAGCCAGTGTCTATAGGATAAATAATGTGTTGCCTGTAACTGAAGACAGTTTCCTCACAGATTCTCTAAAACTTGTAATTTGGCACACTGACTGATATTTTTCACCGAACCTCATGACTACACCTCGAGCATAGCAATCCCAACAAATGGGGTTGGGATTGCTGTAAGTAATTTTGTGCATATATCTTTAAACCACATAAATAAGGATTCAAAAAGGATCAAAGCATGTTACAAGGTCAATTTCCACCATACAAAATCACCAAAGTAATGGATGTTTTGAAGACCTCTTTCAGTCATCCCCAAAAATACCTTCAGTCAAATGTTATTGGGATTTTTTAAATGACTCATGTGCGTTCTTAAGTCACAGCCAATGAAAAGCACCAATCAAGTGACATAGATGAACTTCAGACAAAGCCTTATGAAAGTGAAAAGACAGAGCTTACGGAAAGTGATTGTGATTTTTGGCACTATTAGATCATTATCCCACAGCGTCCTGCCTAACTGCTCACCACACTGTTTTTTCATTTCAGCTATCATTAATGACCTTTTAAAATTTGCCCCAATTGTTAGCAGAAAACAATTCAAATAAATTGAGGGTACCAATTCTTACACATGTTATGAAACTATGCATGAACCCATGCCATTTCCCATTACAGTGGTCCCTTGTTTTTCGCAGGAGTTACGTTCTAAAAATAACCCGCGATAGGTGAAATCTGCAAATTAGCCAACTTTATTTTTTTACAATTATTATAGATGTTTTAAGGCTGTAAAACCCCTCACTACACACTTTATACACTTTTCTCAGACAGGCATGAACATTTGAAGCCGCTTGAGGCGACTTTTGTTGTGATTTGGCGCTATATAAATGAAATTGAATTGAATTGAATTTCACACTTTTCTCTCTTGTTTAATCACTCTCAAAGTTCAAACGTTGTAGAAAAATAAGTCCAGTGTTTTGTCGACATTGTTGTGTTTGTTGGGGAGAAAATTTACAGACATACAGAACAAGACTTCAGAGTCACACAGCTTAGCCCCTGTCTATGAAAAGCGCTTAATAAATAAACTTTACTTACTTACTTACTTACTTTGTTGCCATTTCTAGCCAGAGGGAAAATATGTCTTTTTTCCCACATTTTTCTCCTGGATTTGCTGATGTTACCCTTTATTTAATGGGGGTTTGTTGCACAGATTCCACAAAAAGACTGAGGAGTCACTTGGGTTTGTGAACTGGCTATAAACATCTTGTGTTATTTAAAGCAAACTCCATGAGTGTTAGGATGCCTGGGTCGTTGACCCAGGGTTTTTGAGTTTATTATATTATTTATCATTTCTAGTCTTTGGTTTCTTTGTTAGAGTTCTGTCTTATGGTTTATGTCTCTGTGTTCTCTAGTTGCTCTGTCTCCCCTGTCAGCTGTATCCCCTTGTCAAGTTCGCGTCTCTGTGTTATGTTTCCTGTTTTACTTACAGAAAGTCTGTCTCATGTAAATGCGTTTAGTTTTGCTTCCTTTGTCTCGTTAGGCCTGATTTGCCCCAGCTGTGTTTCCCTCCTGTTACCCATTCCCTGATTGCTCCCTCTGTGTACTTAAGCCCTGTGTTTCTCTGTGTCAGTGTCGCGATCTACTCTCATCTTGCTGTGTGTTCTGGCCATTTGCCAGTTCAGGTTATTGTTGTCTTCAGTTTATGATTTGTATTCCCAGTTTTGCTAGTTCTCGGTTTGCCATCTAGCAATAAATCTGAGTTTAAGTTCACCTTTTGTCTAAGACTGTCTGCACTTTGGGTCCTCCTACTACCACTCCTGCCTGCACACAGCCTTCACACGACAATGAGTGCGGAGTGGATTTGAGTGATTTGGGGTAAATAAAAGGGTAATTAATGATCGAAGCAAAAAACATCTAAATTTAGCAGCGGTGAGGTGGGCGGTTAGCCAGGCCATTCTACGTTGTGCCAGAATTTTAAAAAACGGACATTGTGAATAAATAACTTGAAACCAGTGATTTGGCCCATCACATCATAAGAAAGTAATGACAGAGGAGAAAGAACGCAGATTTAATGCACTTTAAGACCTGGAAGCTATTTACATTGTTTATATACAGTTTCTAGAATGTAGTAATTCAGCCAGTGTCACTATATTAACTAGTCATATTGAATAATGTATTCTTGAATTTTATTCCAACAAAACCCAAATAGCTCTTGTACCCAGCTTTAAAAGCCTCACCGTACAGTCTGGTCAGAAAGCCAGCCAGCATCACAGTTGTCATAGCCATCAGCAAACGTAGCCTGCAGCTGACCAGGTGTTGCAATGGCCGCTGAGTTCTCGATGCACACCCTCTTGGCATCAGCAAAGGACAGGGCATAGCGGTCATGAGGGGCCCGGTAGTGGAATACCACACCTGGAGCAAAGAAATTGTGATAAGAAATAAAGCTCAAAAAACACAAATACATAACATGCAACCTTCAATTCACCAAAGTATTTATGAACTATAACCTTGCACCATCGAAACATGAGCATTAACATGCTCACAGGCATATGTGCACAAAGCCCCCTTGACATCCTCATCAGGTGTTGACATTGTTCCATCTGTGCGATATGAAACTACAGGATTCAGGTTCAGGAACCTCTGTACGTGAGTCTCATTTGCATCGGATAGTCGGTTGGCTTATTTGAGAAAAGAGATGTTGCCCTTGGATACAGAGATTGGCAAACAGTGGTGATGTTTATTTGACTGATTTAACAGTACAAACACAGTGTCACCCTGCTGCACGCCGCCTGCCTCCGAACCCATGATGGAATGACAAAGAAGACAGACAAAGAAAAGGAAAACCACGCGTGCATTAAACCAAAGTGAAAAGAAAAATAGGCGGAGAATATGAAAAGCTTGGTTAAAAAATTTGAAGTAGAAAGATATGACAACGCCCCCCCAATTTTTTTTCACTTGCAAATCTGTAGCTGATCAGTGCACAGTATATTCCATCGAACCTGGAATAGAACTGCATCAGAAGGTCTATCCAAGTTCAAGTGTTTATCCTTCAGTTCACACCTCTGGTTGCCTTTCACACAACACTGTGCCCCTGATGTGCATCCAGCGACATGAAAGCTAGTGGCTGTTTGGCAACTAATACATCGCCTTTATCTTCGCTGCCATTGTCTGGGAGAGTGACAGATATTCCTATGTGAGACGTAGGGCCCTTGTGACAATTTGAGCATTAACACTCCAGGCTTTAGCACAGAGAGTAAGCAGGGCCATTTGTAGACAGAGAGAGTTCCCACAGCACCAGCAGTGCATCTGCTGTTGCGGGCAGAAGAACTGTTTTGTTTCTTTTCTCTTCTCCTAATTTCTCAGCCTCCATCCCTTCTCTTTTGAGGCTGCGGGGTTTTATCCAAACATAGATGCTACTGTAGCTTGCTGGCTAACACATGCACCAGAGAGATAAATGGGCTTCCTCTCAGCATGGGAAACCCAGTGCCTTTCCACAGGGAATGCACAATACCTCGTCTCATCTATTTTTACCACCATGCATCTTTGTACATCCCCACACAGTCTCCTAAGGGAAAAACAGAAAGCCACCATATGATGCCCTCATTGCTACACTAATCAGGAGCTGGTGTCTCTTGACACTTGAATTATTACATGGCGCAATGTGCTTTAGTGTATAAAAATGTATAATTATTTTTCTTTATTTAAACCAACAAATACAATGAGGCAATTTTGAATAAATGATCAACCTTTTTGTTTAAATTACAGAGCGGTAAGAGCTGTTTCAAAGTGCTAATTTTTTTGAAAATACAATCACTTACTCGCTTTCTGGCCATGGATCAGAGAACCACTTTCATTTCTCACAATATAAACACAGCAAATACAGAAACAGCTAGTCTGACAGCATTTGAACATTTTGTGCCATTCTGAAAGGAGCAACAGTAACTCTACTACATTGGGCCAAGTGATATTTACATATCACATAAACACATATGTCTGAACTGCAAGCAACTGGATTAAAGGCACAACGTGTAAATAATGAATGTGTCCCAATGAAGTTAACAAACTGAGCAATGCATCACAAGTCTAAAGATAGTTTACTCCCACCTCTTGGTTGTATCATCTTTCTGCAAACGATGTATTTTAAGTTCAGAGTATGACTTCTAAACCACACTTTCATTTGTAATTTGTGACAACGCAGAAAAGGTGACAAAGGAAACAACAGAACATAAAGTAAAATGAAACAGTCGCAGTGCTGACCTGTAAGTTACACAAGCGCTATATGAGGAAACATTTCAAAGCAGTGACATTTTAGACTAGTGCGTTAGACACTGCTGTTCGATGCACTACAATCATCAACTTCAATCTCTCCAGCAGAGATGGGCAGTAACGCGTTACTTGTAACGCGTTACTGTAATCCGATTACTTTTTTCAAGTAACTTGACCAACACTGCTCTCCAGTAAACTTTCAGAAACTTGCAGAGTTGATATCAGCTTTTCTAGATTATCGTCTTATAGCTGACATGATCCGGCCATTCAAGTAGTTTCCTTCCATTCAGAGGTTACATTAACAATAGTCAGTGCAGATACACTATGCACTGCTCTTACAGCAGTGAGCTGCCATATGTCACCACAGAGAAAGTCTGACAAACACAATCAATAGCACTGCGTTGTAATTGGTGAGACACAGCCAATTGGTCAGTTAATATGTGCCAGGAGAAAGGAAGACGATGGAGACAAAACAAGGAGGAAGAAAGGCAGAGGGAACGAGGGAGAAATAAAAAAAAACAAACGGCAGAAGAGGACATCGGGGGACACACAAATTACTCTATAAGAAGAGTGGTGTGGATTAATATGATATTAATACAGCTGAGCAGTATCAATACCTGCTAATTAACATGTTGAGCAGTTGGTAGAATTAGCGAGAGGACGGCTGTGGTCGGCCATGTACCGTGACTTCCAATTAAGACTAAGCCCTGGAGAAGGCTACTCCTCGCCAGCTACGTAATTGGCTTCTCTCTGAAGGAGTGGTTTTCATGGTGTATTAATCAATTGGCCAAGAACGGGAGGACACAGGGTCTCCCAAGCATAGTGGCAGGGGTCTCACTTATGAAATGTAATATTCTATGAGCACCTATTAGGTGTTCCTCATACTTGACAAAACCAGATGGCATCCTTGTTGAAGTACTGAAATTAGGCATTAGGCATAGTGGTCTTTACAAACAGGCACACACAAATTTCCCACAGACATTAACAAGCTTGCACATGTTCACATTTGAACCATGTGCAGAAACTGAGTGCAGTCTGTCTCTATTACTATGAAGAGTGAAAATGGAGCCAAAAGTCCTCTGAACTTTCACAGCTGCTGTTGGTTATGTTAGCGGTAGCACGGCTTCGTAGTAAGTGGTGGCGTGGTGTACAGTGCCTAATGCATCAATCAGTTCCCCGCAGTCATTATGATAGTAGGTTATTATTAAAAATAGTGAGTGACCCGACAAAAACCTATGATAGCTTTGCAGATAAAACACCCTGACACAGTAATAATGGTTCCACTAGAGCAAATACCTCCAAGTAGCGTGGTATTCCACAAATATGGGTTTCCTGGACAGAGCAAATGGTTTGCCTATTTAGTTAAGCCACCTAGAGCCACACAGAGCTCTCGGTGCAATGCTATTTGACAACACTGTGCACTGCTGGGTTTCTACCTTATTGGCGTCATTAGGCTTTCAGTGCATGAACAGCACCTGAATGGCCCAGGTCAATGATGTTTAATGTGTTTGAGTTCCTTCACCTTTTCCCTATCATCATACATTCTACATAAACAGTAAACAACCCTTGCTGTAATGATTGTACTAGCCTGACACGGAAACAGGGTCATTATTATTCATAGTGGCAGACCTTGAGAGCTACAATGGAGCTATACACAACCAGTGCGGCAGTTATTTGCTGAGACAGTTCTTTGTGTTGGTTAAACACACATAACGCATACATAATGGAATCGTGTATATCAACACACACTGAATAGAAATAATCAGTTTTTATGAGGATACTTCCTGCTTTCTGCCTTTTTTCTTTTTCTTACAAAACATTGAAAATAGTGTTAGTAATGCGTCTTATAGCCATCAAATTAAAACAAAACCTGGTCACGCCCTAAGTTTGTTAGATGTACAAGCTCTGATTAGGATGAGAGGAGGCAGTGGTATAACTGAACACTACAATAATAACACAAATAATTAATGAAGATTACCCCAAATATGCTGTTTGAGTTTTTGAATCTCTTTATTAGTTTAGTTCTTGATTTTTTTATTACTGGTAATTCTGTCTGCACTCCTAATGATGCTACATCTAACCAGATGAACTACTACTACTACTGCGTTGTATTCCAAGTTGTTTCTTTATATAACAGATACTACATCCTGAATCAGTTGCACAGATATTGTACACACTACTAAATAATGAAGTGTAAGCTTTAAAATAATTTTAAAATCAACTGGACCGTTACTGGGATCATTTTGAAATGAAACTGGAGCAGTTTTAAAACAGAATCAGTCATCCAGTCACAAATATTATTATAATACTGTTGTTTTATTGTAATTCAGCACTGCAGATATATTTATTTTGCAACTGCTTAAAAAAAGACTCTGGAGCCTACTTTTGCCTACCTCCCAGCTCACACTGAACGCAACATCAATGCCTATCCCTGCAGGTGGTGCATCCACAGGATGGGGTAGATACATGGACTTTGCTAGACAGGGGTTCGTGCTATTTCTTTCCACTGTAATTGACCAAGCATCATGGTTACAGATCTGGCCACCAAATGCTTGGCTCCAGGAGACCGCCTAGTTTTCTTCCTACTAGTTTGTGGATGAGGTTATCGAGCTCTAAATCTTCCACTTTTGGGGTTTTCTGCCTTAGAGGTAGGCTAAGGAGCGGGTGATGCTAGTGTGACTACTCACTATATTTTACCAGCAGTAATTTAAAAGTAGGTGAAATGTTGAAAACTGTACCTTAAATTTAAAATAACTATCACAGTGAAAGAAAAGTTTACATTTTATTCACCTGTGACCTCCAGAGGAACTGTGTCCTGCTCATCATTAATGCCCACCACTACCTCACACCGATATAGACCAGAGTCGCTAGAGCGTAGCCCAGTCAGAGCGAGACTGGCATTGTAGCGGTTCTTATTATAACCAGGCAGTGTGACACGACCCTGGAAGGCCTTCTTCACCTGAGGAGCAGAGAGTGAGAGAGACAGTGAAATAAAATGTTTGAGAGAAATAGCTAAATTACAGGTGAGTCAAGCATTTACTAGCGGTAAATATGTTTACTGTACCTTGACCACATTGTCTTTGGCCACCAGGACCGACTGTTCCTTTTGCAGGCCGTCAGAGCCTCTTTGGCCCCAAACCTTAGTCCACTTGATTCTGGGCGGCTCGTGGAATGAACCAGCACTGGGGCGGAGGGTGAAGAGGCAAGGGAGCAGAACTGTTTTAGAAAGCTCCTCACTTATGGTCTGATGGGTAACCTTCCGCATATTCACCACTGTATCTGCACTGGTTAAGCCTGAGAAGAAGAGAGGAGAGGAGAAATAAATCAGTGCTTTTCATTTGTAAATGAAGTAACAAAATGCTTTGTCTCATTAAGCAGGTTTCTCTTAGTTGCTTCTTTGAGAATCAAGCATGTGCTTTCCCTCTCAGTTCCGTTACCCCATCAAATCTTTCTTGTAGTAGAGTAGAAGGGAAAAAACACAAGCTCATTGTGTCTCTATGATTATTGATTATCCGTCATTGATCCAACAGACCATTAGCTTGATATCTAACACTGGGAGGCATATATATAAAAGATTTCAAAGGTGCTTTCATGAACCATACATCAAATGTGGATATGAATTATAGGATCAATATTACACACCTCTTTTTGCAGTTTAAGTCACCACCATCCCCACCATAAAAATAAAAATATTTTATCCTAAATGCAGGCACAGGATATTATAAAAATGGATGAAAATGGTAGTGTGTTGAGCAAAATCCTGCAAAGTTCTGTTATTGATATTTGTTTTCAACCAGTGTAAAACTCTTTTTACACTGGTAGAGTTTCTTTAATACACATCATACTTTATCTTTATGCTCTAATCCTGTGCCACGTTCACAGAAAAGATATAGGAAGCTCATTTACATTGTAGAGGGAAACAAAACAACACAGTGATGCAGTTTATCACTTCTGAGCTTTATCCACTTCTCTGTTTCTCTTGTGCACAGTGTATGAATGAGGTTTACCTGTAAACGCTTTCCCCTCATCTCACTTTTTTATAGTTCGCTTATCAGTCACTACTTCCTTTCTCTTATTTCTACGTATGCTGATAAAAAATGTTGCCGTCTTATCTAATTTGGCCCAAAGACAAGAAACAGCCAAGAAACACATTAATTTTCAATGTACAGTTGTGTGTATACAGCAGCTGATGGGTGGCTTAATGATATTTCTTGCAGCCGTGCCTGGCTGAGTTCCATGACTCCAGGAGGGTTCGATCTTTTGGGAAAGCAATACTTACATGAAAGGTTCATTGTATTTTTTTGTTTGTTTAATTGAAGAGAATTGTTACCTCCGAATCTGAAGTCATGACTGTGAGATGGACAGGTGGGTTAGTGTAGGGCTGCAAGTGATGAGGGTTGTGTAGCAGACTTATGGTGAAGAAAGAGCTGAGCAAGAAAGAAAATCCTTTGATTTATTACTCATGGTCATGAGCTTTGGGTAGTGACCAAAAGAATTAGATTGCAGATACATTTAGATGAATTAATTCCCTCCGTAGGCTGGCAGGGAATAGCTTTAGAAATATAGAGCTGCTGCTCCCTTGTGTCAAAGAGAAGCCATACGATGTGGTGCAGGTCTCTAATCAGGATTCCTCCAGGGAAACTTCCCTTGAAGACCTCAGGGTGGACCTGGAATTTCAGGGGTGATATCTATCTGGCCCAGCATGTCTCTGGATTCCCCAAGAAGAACAGGAAACAATTAGGCTGACTAAAGTTTTGTTAGTTGCTGGAAAAATACATATGGAATACCCCGATTAGCTTTCTGCTCTTGTAATTGGTTTTTGTCATTAGCAATTGTTATCATGTAATCATGCTACCAGGGCTGCTGTGTGGAACCGAGGCGGCACAACCTCCTGCCAGAAGACCGGCTGACCGGAAGACCCGGCAAGCCATAGTGAGTGCAGCCAACAAGATTATTTGTGCCCTCCTGCCCTTCCTCATGGACATTTTCAACACCCATCTCTTCCACCCTTCACACTCCCTTTTCAGCTTCTTGCCTTCGGGAAGAAGATTTCTAGAACATCCGGGCTCGCTCTGCTAGACTGATAAACAGCTTCATTCACCAGGATGTTAGAAGACTGAACTCTGTTCACTATCACCCTGCTCTGCCCTCTAACCTTAGACTGTAAAACTATCTCACACAAGTTGCATTTAAATCTTTAATGCTGCTTTCTGTCTTTGGTAAACAAAAGTCCCATACAGAATCCAAGATCCTTCAGGCCACACGAGAACTTAACACAAGGAGCTAAAAAGATAGTGAGACAAAGGCTGAGGAGAAGATGGGACTATTTATACAGATGGGGTAATCAGGGAAGTGGAAACAGCTGAGACACAAGTGTGAGTCACTTGAGTCACTTGTGAGGACAATCAAGACAGAAGAGACAAGTAACTATAAAAATAAAACATGTTAAAGTGTTCCTAAGTGAGACAGAGTTGCCCTTGATGCATCCATCAGAGTGTGAGCGTCTGAATGTTAGGCTAAAAGTCTTAGCAAGAGATAAAAGTGGTTGTATGAATGTGAATGCATTAATAAGGCTTGTACTACTAAAATGATTGGAATAGCAAAGCACTATATAAACACCAGTTTAATTTAAAACGAGGAAAGACACAGAGGGATTAATAAATTCACGAAGGTAAACAGTATCTATTGCTAGAAGATAACAAGCGTTATAATGGGCAGGAACAATTGAAAATAAAACCTCAGCACTAAACAACAATATACTAAGAATAAAAGAAACATTAAACCAAAGAAACAGAGAGTACCTAAAAATAAATAAGAAACGGAGACCTCAAAAACTCTTCAGCAACTGGGAACAGACCAGGGTCCACAGAAAGTTACTTTATTAATAAAACATGTTTTAAAACTGGCCTGTAGTGTCAGTCAGTCAGAAAATAATTAGAAACACAATTTGACCTGCAGAGAAGTTGAAGATCTGTATCAAACGGGTACAGCTGCTGCTAAGAATGAGTGACAAAAGACAAGTAGAGAGAAAAAACAAATAAAGAATTTAGCACAGCCAAGGATGGTGAAACAGACAGTGAGGTGGAGAAAACGAGCCTACCCGATTTCTTTTATTAGTGTCGGTTTCCGCTGTCGTGCTCCATTCCTATTTGTCTGAATCCATGTTAAAGTACTACACGCTATAAGGTCAGCCTGTCCTGCCTGTAATTAAATGGCATATTTCTGGAACAGTGCTTTCCCAGTGATCACAGACGCATCGCTGCGTGAGCTGCTCAACCCCTCCGTCCTTCTCCCATCCTTGTCATTTTTCTCCCCATCTCCTGCCATTCTCTTTTCCCTCCTCGTCCCCTGCAGTACAACCACCTGCCAGCTTTCAGATGAGTTTTTCAACTCACTTTTTCTTATGTTTGTATTTTTATTCCACTTGGATCTCCGACTACCTCACTGAGAGACCACAATACGTCAGGCTGAAGGACATCACGTCTGACTCTGTGGTCAGCAGCACAGGAGCACCACAAGGAACTGTGCTGTCCCCTCTTCTCTTCACCCTGTACA